CGCGGTAGCACATACACAATGAATGGGTTAGTCGGCGGAGGTCTGCACTTTGCGCGCTATGTGTGAAAAGGGCTTTATTTCCACCCTGCCCAGCAGCGGTACCATGGCGAACGGTCCCTAAAGGCCTCTACACATGATCAGCTGTAAAACCGCTTTGCGCTGGCTGTCCCATTATTTGTCTATGGAGAGGGCAGCAATGCCTGACAAAGCGGCACTGCTACCCTTGGCGTCGCATACCGCTCTGATTTTCTGCCCGAGCGCTGTGCTCAGAGTTGAAATTATTTGAACTACAGGGAGAATGGAGCAGGCTTCCCCGGAGATCCACCCGGTCCATCTCCTCCACACTTTGACTTATTTCCACGCTGCCGACAGTGGGACTTATATTCATTGTGCTGACAGTGGCTTGGAAAACCACCCATAACCGTGTCACACGGGGAAGAGGGAAGAGGGAAGGCGGCTGGAGTTCCTCCAACATTTGCGGTTAGAGTATCATATTTTTTTATTGACAAAAATATAGGCTGCTTCAGCTGATTTTTTAATGCGCACATGTGCCCCTAAATATTTTTTACAGTTCGCACACACCTATTTTTAGTCGCAAATGTGAGTGAAACGCTCGCACTGTCGAGCCCTGCATTGTAATATTGTGATTGTGCCACTAATTGATACTGCCTTGACTCATGTCAATGATGACCTGATGATGTTTTACTGTCCAGGGGCTGTGCTCTGTGTGTGTGTGTGTGACCATACGTTTCAATATACGTGCAGAGCTATCGACTGAACGTGTCACACATGCATGCTTTGACGCCTGTGCAGCAAAACAACGCCGTACGTGTTATGTTGTTTCCCCATTAACGGTCACACGTGAGCTCGCACGTGTAAGCGTGATGACTGCTGCACACCACATAATCACACGACGCGGAGTGACTACGTGTAACATTTATGCGTTTTTTGCGAAGGCATGCATAAACACTCACATGAAGATAATAGAACGTTTTTGTCATGCGTGCACACGCACGCGTACTATGATGTGCGCACACTACATCACGTGTAAGATGAAGATGCGTACTGTACTTACAGCGTGTGCACGTCCATCTGTCACTGTTGGAGATATGTTTCAATTTTCAATTCAATTTTATTTATAAAGCCCAATATCACAAATCACAATTTGCCTCACAGGGCTTTACAGCATACGACATCCCTCTGTCCTTAAGACCCTCACAGCGGATAAGGAAAAACTCCCCAAAAAAAAACCCCTTTAACGGGGAAAAAAAAACGATAGAAACCTCAGGAAGAGCAACTGAGGAGGGATCCCTCTTCCAGGACGGACAGACGTGCAATAGATGTCGTACAGAACAGATCAGCATAATAAATTAACAGTAATCCATATGACACAATGAGACAGAGAGAGAGAGAGAGAGAGAGAGAGATGCAGGTAATGACAGTAGCTTACAACAACATTAAATGTTATATGTTGTTAAGTGTTCACACGCGCGTTCGCACTTGTTGATTCTACGCAACCAGAAGTTTATCTGTCACACACCAGTCCACATGCATGAACACCTCACATAGTTTTCTTTTTCTCACAGATAAGAAACAATAAATTGTGAAGACAGTAAAGCCTCCACTAAAATAGCATTTTCTTGTGTGTGATTTAACCTGGCTTCATATGAGCAAAGGAAATCTCCGCTCGTTGCTAGGCTAATGTATACCAGCTCAATGGCGTAGTGGTAGAGTGTCTGCCATGAGACTGGGAGATTGTGGGTTTGATTCCCGGACAGGTCATACCAAAGACTATAAAAATGGGACCCTTTGCCTCCCTGCATGGCAGGGGTTGGAATCCTCCACCACTGACTAGTGTTTTGGAAGGGTAACTGCAGAGTGACACAGACACACCACCGCAGAAATAAAAATAACGTGCAGATTTTTTTTCCCACGACTAATCGATTAGTAGAAGATTATGTGTGACTTTAGTCGACCAAGATTTTCTTTGGTTGACTACAGCTCTAGAAAAAAGACTGAATGGGCTTTCCTGCAAATTTGCACAATTCCTTGTCTCCCCAGTTGCTCATCTTTACAGTGTCTGTCAGGTTTGTGTTTCCCTCTTGCTGCTAGCTGCTTGCTAATTCCTGCTATCAGCCGTTTCCCGCTTATTCACCGCCAGTGGCTCGCACGTGTGGCGTCATCAACAGCTCCTCCTACAAGTCTTTAACAGCCCCTCCCGTTACGGAAGGCCGCCTTGGTCTGTTTAAACTAAAAGGGTTCCGCCAATATGACTACCCTACAAGGTGGAAAATTGGGCACCGTGTGTGTGTGCGTGTTGTTTAGAGGTGTTGGTCCATAGGGGGCCCCCACAGAGAGCCAGTATGGATAGCGATAAGAGCAGATGGTCAGCTGGTAGCACAATGCAAGCTACAAAATTTGCTCACATGACACACAGTCTGAGCCAATAAAGACTTTTGTGTATTTTTGTTGCCGACAACTCAGTTCAAAAGAGTTTTTAGACGGATGTTTTCTCTAATAGTTTTTTTTCTCTGCAGTTCATTCTGAAAATCAGCTTGAAACCTGCCTGAGAAGACAATTTAGCAGTAATGACACTGTGATACCCAGAACTTTCCATAAGCGCTGGCTGCTGGATACTGGCTGCTAGCGTTGGGAGTAGGGATGCTCGATAATATCAGCACGGCATCGATATCGGCCAATATGTATCAGAATTGGCCAAAGTGCTGAATGAATATTACATACATTGCAAAGTATTGTATTTCATGTCTCCATCTGCTGGTGGGCCATCATGAGTATGCATGCATAATATGATTATTCCACTACAGAAGAGACTTGTTAATCACTATTAGATGGTTAAAATAGTGGATATATTTGTCAGTATCAGTTATTGGTCAAATGAGTTGTTACATATTGGCATATTGAATATGGGCAAAAAAATCCAATATTGTTCATCCCTGGTTGGGAGATATGTTAAAATTATTCAACCAGCTATCGTTAGCACAACCTGACAGGTGGACTGTTTGTTTGACATGGTGATGTGGAAAAAAAATCTAATTTCACAATGCTTTTGACCAAATACTTCAAAATTGTTGTTATGACAATATTGTAGGGTTGACCATAGTATTTACACAATGAGATTTTTCATAAATAATCATCAGTAATGTGGATAAATCTCAGTAGGTAAAGGCAAACAATAGAACAGCAAGAACAGTCTGGTTAGTTGAGAAGATGACATTACTTTACTGTAATGCAGCCTTAAAAACCAGGAAAAGACAACATTTGCATATTACGACATCCAGAATCTTAGACATTGCCCACTTAGTTTCACTTCATGACATTGATATAATATTGATATATTGCTAAATACAAGGCACAGTAGAGCTATGACTCTCTGTCAGACTGGCGACAATACTGAAGAGAGACCTGGGATTGTTCTTATTTTGCTAAGAATGCTGAGTAATAGTTTGCTCTGGCATTGCAGAGGGTATCACTATTCATTTTAAGACTGTCTGACTAAAAAGGAATCTTTCAGGTGGTTTAAATGCCAGTTACTTTCAGATGTTGTTGTATGTGTGTTGCAATATTCGTTACTAACATTGTATACTAAAATGAGAATGATGATGTTCTACGACAATGGTTCTGACCTGGCCCAGCCAGGGGGTCCTGATTTCTCCTTAGTCATCACTTTAAGGTCCACACAGTTTAACATATTCAGCATCATACTTGCGTCTGGCCGTCTGTCTGTTAGTCACTCAATCTACAGCAGGAAACTGCACTTCCTCTGTGCTGGAAATTCACTTTACTTAAAAGATAATGTGTTTTTTATAAACTTGACATGTTCATGAGCCACTAGCGGTCCATTCGCATTGGTCCCGTGACCCACTTTTGGACCGCAACCCACCAGTTTGGAACCACTGTTCTAAGAAATACAGAGTTCTATATGCATATGAAGTAATGAAGAGTTAAGTTTTACTTTCAGCTCCAAAAAAAACAACAACATTCCATTAAGACTAGTCAACTAGTCTAAAAAGAGGAAAACACTCAGAAAAGTCAAAATTTTAGCACGATGTGTTGTTAAGTATTTGAAACATTGTCCCAAAAAATAGTATGTGATTAAGAGGCCTTTGAATCTTCAACAACATGTCAGATTTTAAATGCCGCTGAAGAACGAGACACTTTGCGCCGTGCGATATGAATATGAATATCAACATCCAGGCTCAACATATTGCATTAACTTCCTGAAGCTTTTACCTTCAAGAAAGTTAAGTGGAAGCCTATCTTGCGAGGTCATTGTTGTAATGAGCTGTGTTATCTTCTCAGACTGGGTGGGATCTCCACGTGAATGATGTCAATTTGGTCTGAGTATGGCTAGCACAGCTAGCAGCAGCAGCCGTTGTTCCATGCCTGTTAACATCCAAATGCTCGAGTTGAATGTGGTTGTGCGTTACTCCAATTGAGTAATTATATGCCAGTTTATTTCTGACACAGCCTACATTGTTTTCCTTGTCTAGATCAAAGTACTGCCAAACTGCACTGGTTTTGCGAGAGGACATCTCTCCAGTTTCCCACCATACTGTGTTAAAACTCCAGTCTACTCACGCATTACTGCGGGGAGGGGGACTGCTGTGTGACGGCTCTGTAGCACCCACTAGTGGCGGGCGGCTGCATGACAGTTCAGCAGCCTTGTACATAAATGAAACACTTGTTGATTTTACCGACTCATATTTCTGGTCCTGTCTAGTGAGGGGGCGGAAGGGTTTAGACGGCTAATCGCGCGCATCCCTAATATGTAGCGGTTAATGTTGATATTGTGGTGAGCTGCCACAAATAAAAGAATGTGTGGAAAAAACTGCTGTATAATATACTGATTTTTTTTTTAAAAAAAAATGTATTATTCATCAGTGACGGCTCCTGTTTGTATTTTGATTTCATTCTATCAGGACCCTTTGTAGTATTGTCCTTTTAATGTATTCTTTTTGTAATGTTTGTGTATTCTCTAGCATTGGTAGCACCCTGATGGACATGGAGAGCACAGCGTCCAGCGGTCGCTCTACCCCAGCCATGCTCAACAGTCTGGGTGGAGGCACGGTGGCGGGGAGTGGTTCGGCACCTCTGGGGGGCAAGTCTCTGAGCTACACATGCTGCTGGGATCACTGCCAGCTGCTGTTTCCTAGCAGCCCCGACCTGGCCGAACACATCAGAGCCACACATGTGGATGGACAGAGAGGAGGGGTGTGTGTCTCACTGTCAGGTTACTGTATGTGTGTAGTTCCCAAGGGTGTGTTCACATAGTTAGTTGTGTTCAGAAAACACTTTATACATGTAAAGACATGTAAAGACAACTTGAATAAACAATAGGCTGCTTTCGTAAAAGTGTCTGTCCCCACTGAAACACCTGACCAATCAGAAAACGGTTTAATCTCTTCTAAATTGTTTTACAAGCTCAGACAACAGGAGTTTTGGACGTTTTTTTCCCCAATTCACCCCTCCTGACAATTGTAGGAGAAATCTCGTCTAGGATCTTGGTCCGTACAGAAGTTAGCCCAGATTATCTGGTAATGTGAGAGATTTACAGATCCATCTGAAACCTCCTGAACTACTCAGACTCGAGGTCGCCCTGACAATTGTCAACATATTTGATATTTAGGAGTTAAAATCTAGATGATTACAATAATGACAACATCAGCTGGAGTGGCTAACAGTGTTGCCAAGCAACAGGAAATATTCTAGCCCTCAGCCAGCATACTAATGTTAACAGATATAAAAACTGTTAAAATCTCACCAGTTCTCACTGAAGAATAGACAACCCATGTTAAACATTTCTCCTCCAGACTCGTTAACCTTCTGCTTGGGTTTTTCTCACTGCAAAGCACTGTTAACATCACAGCAAGATGTCACACCACATTAGTCTCTGTTTTATTTACATCCCCATGAGATTACGTGAGGTAGTGGGTTGCTCCCTCTGGCACTGTAATCTTAAAATCAGTCCCACCAGGATTTCGCGATGTTGTGACTGCAACAACTAACATCTAAAAATATAGCTGCAAGCGGCAATTACGGGGTTCAAGCCAGCATGGACATTTAAAAATTGAAAGCTTGGTAGAATCAAGACCTCTGACAGTTTAAGACGCCTGCATTAGATTACCAACAGGTTTTATGACAATCAGACAGATGGAGACATGGTTTAATGGCTTAGTTAAAAAAGTCCACCAAGTTTGGTGATGTTTGAATCAATGAAGGTTTCCTCATTCATTATAACCAAATTTTGCTAAAGGCCGTCGCACATGTTTGTAACTTGTGGGGCCCCCTATTGAACGAATTTCAAATAATTTAATATGTGTTTTTGATAGTTATTATTCAACATACCCTGCAAGTTTTGTAATGACTGGACAATCAATTTCTGATTTTTAGTCTGATTTGTGTTATTGCATGCTCATTTTTTGTATTTGTGTTGCCCCCTTGTGGTCAATTTGAATGAATCTTTCAGGATATGTTCTGGTACCTCTTCCGACATTGTTTGCAAGGTTTGTGATGATTGGCCCAAACGTTGTGGAGTCATTTGCTGACAACACTGTAAAGTTCATTGGTCAATATCTTCGAAAAGCAATGAGATATCACTAACAGTTAAAACGTTGTGATAAAATTCTGAAAGAAATCTGACATCACTCTACTGATTTGGGGTGTATTGTCAAATATTTTGGTGACAATTGGTTTAAAATGAGCTGAAATGCAAATTGTTGTGCATACAGTACTAATTACAACAAGATAATGAATATCACTGTGAGCTTACCGTTAAACCATTCTGAACACCATTTGAAACATGTGACATCAAGTATCCAAAGAATGTTTGAGGCAGTGGTGGTTGCTTTTAGATGAAGACTTTTATAGATGTTAAATAGTTTAGCATATTCTTAAAAAAAGTTTTGTCACAATTCAGTGGATGTTCTTTAAAAAATCTCAGCTGTGTAGGACACACTGGTGATTTATTCTGATTTTTTGATGTATGGACTGTGAAATGTTTTGAAATGAAGATTTACTTTAATAAGCCACGCTCCCTTTAAGCAATCATTTCAAATTTTGTGCATCAACCCCGTACAAATATTCCTGGCTGATTATGAGATATCAAATTTTTGCATGTGTAGCGGCCCCTGTTGGTTGATTTGAAACCAGTCAAACTTTCAGGATATCATTCAGTTACTCATGTCGACATTTCCTACAAGTTTTGTGACAATTGGCTCAACAGTTAAGGAGGAAAATCCATTTATGTTGCTGAGCCTTGCCCCCTGTAAAGTTCATTGATCAGTACCAAAATGCAATGACATATCAAAAAGTCTTTCATAACTTTAAAAAGCTTCATCAGATGATGATGCACAGAATTTTTGATACAAATCAGACCGACGCCCTAGGAGGAGATGTAAAAAAGGATTTATTTTTTTTTTATTCAATATGGTGGACAATCTAATAGGCGGACCTTTAGGGTTCTTAAGGCTTTCGTATAACCCATTCACCTGACCATGCGTGTCGAGTTTGAAGTCAATCTGACATAAGGTGTGAGGGTGGTGGCCTTTCAAAATCAAATTTTCCTTGACCTTAATTATAGCACCCCCATCTGGCCAGTTGGCATTATATATCTTGAGCAGCATTTGCACACAACTTCCAGTCATTGGTGAAAATTTTGTGTCTCTATGATCTACCATCTCACGGGAATTTGGGAGAACATTTCTGAATAATAATAATAATAGTAATAATAAAAATAATAAAGCAGGACAAAAACAAAACAGTTTCAGCCCTTCGGACTTGAACCCCTAAATATTGCAACAGGCATCGCAGTTTTTGAGAAAAGCTGCTGTGAAATCAGGCATTTCAGGCCGCAGCAATCACAAAACCAGTCCGCGAAATCCTGGAGGAACTTAATACTATTCTGTAGTGTGTGCACCATTATTTTTAAATGTTGTAGTTTGTGCATGTTAGATCTTAGAGAGAACAGCTGTGAAGTTTCACCTCGTGTGTCATGCAACTCGGTTTCAAATCAGTTAGGATTTTAAAACTCCTGTAGTCTGAGCCCAGCTTTAGTCAGCAATCAACAAAAGTGTTAATTACATGTGATCAGCAGTAGGATCAGTCCCCTCCTGCCCTCTGTGATCACCTACACTGTGTTTTAATTCAGCCAAGTTCACCATGTGACTAGTTAAGTAAGTAGAAGATGAACTGATTTCCAAAAGGCAAAGGCTGTGTGTCATCTCAGTGAGTGCAGATCTGCACACGCTGATAACATACAACTGCTTGAATATTGGTAAAGTTTCCCTTCACTGGTTCCTGTAGAGCAGGGTAGGTCTCATCATTAAAAAGCAGCCTTCAGTAGCTAGCTAACCAAACACTGTTCAGGGTTTGATTTTGGTTTTAGAATGTAGGAGAAATGTTTATCTCCTTCCAACCTCTCAGTAACATTTATCATTTATACAATAGATGCCCCAGGCACAACATTTAGCTCAAAATCCACAAAACCAGTGTGAAAATGAAGGTAATCTGAAATGACTGCATGAGAGCTTATGGAGCACATGGTGTTTCTGGACCCTTGTTGGCTAGGGATAGGGCTGCCCCCTTATAGTCTACCAAATGTTAGTCGACCAGAAAGGTCATTAGTTGGCAAAATGTCATTGGTTGGTTAGTTGCAGAAAAAAACAACAAACAAACATGACACTCTATTAGCTCCATCTTGTCAAAAACTTATATGATTGGACTGTGTGGGAATTTCATTTGAAAGGACAGACACAGGAAGAGGCCACGCACAGCAGTCAGACAGGAGTTACGTTACAAACCAAATGCAGCCGATGGATATCAGTCCGTTCTAACGTAAATATTCAGTCTGTGATAAATTTGGAAAAGTTGATAATTTCAGTGCAGGGCTACCTAGAGCTTTACATCTGTCCCATGGAAGATAGGTCTACACACTTGTAAAAGCGTCTGGAAGACAAGAGTAGCACCGAGCGCCCGACCTCCCGTTTTCCAGGTGGTTAAAGATGTGGCATTAGTAGGGCCCCTAATTTACAGGGCTGGTACTTGCAGTTTTTCACAGGCTGGTTAATAATATGCCCGGCATGAAATCCAAAGTGTGGGATCATTCTGAAAAGGTGAAGAATGAACCCAAGGTGAGAAGTAAACTCTGCAGGCAAACATTTGCCTATCATTCGTCAACTACAAACATGATGTCATCATCTGAAACATATAAGTAACTACATGCCCATTAGCCACTTAGCACAATCATTACTGCTTTGCCGACAACACAAATAACAGGTGGCTCACTCAGTGTGTGATGTGCACTTGTAGATAAAATATAGGCCTATATTAATTAAGATTCAGTAGTACGGTTTGTATTTGTAATGTAGCACAGTGTTAACAATGTCACTAATCCTACCCTTTCTCAGACCTTGAACTCAAACCATTGTGTTGCCCCGCCCAAAATATATAATTTGATAATTACGTTAATATCAAACATGCGGGCGACTAGTTGACTAACGGCCATGAATGATGACTATTGGTCGACTAGGAAAGTTCTTAGTCGGGGGCAGCCCTAGAGCTGGCCGATGCTACGCTATGATTGGCCAGCATTTGAGAGGTGGGACATAGTAAAGGGTCAATTGACCCCTTTCTGTCATGTAACTGTTTGTTTTATATACAGTACAGGCCAAAAATTTGGACACACCTTCTCATTCAATGCGTTTTCTTTATTTTCATGACTATTTACATTGTAGATTCTCACTGAAGGCATCAAAACTATGAATGAACACATGTGGAGTTATGTACTTAACAAAAAAAGGTGAAATAACTGAAAACATGTTTTATATTCTAGTTTCTTCAAAATAGCCACCCTTTGCTCTGATTACTGCTTTGCACACTCTTGGCATTCTCTCCATGAGCTTCAAGAGGTAGTCACCTGAAATGGTTTCCACTTCACAGGTGTGCCTTATCAGGGTTAATTAGTGGAATTTCTTGCTTTATCAATGGGGTTGGGACCATCAGTTGTGTTGTGCAGAAGTCAGGTTAATACACAGCCGACAGCCCTATTGGACAACTGTTAAAATTCATATTATGGCAAGAACCAATCAGCTAACTAAAGAAAAACGAGTGGCCATCATTGCTTTAAGAAATGAAGGTCAGTCAGTCCGGAAAATTGCAAAAACTTTAAATGTGTCCCCAAGTGGAGTCGCAAAAACCATCAAGCGCTACAACGAAACTGGCACACATGAGGACCGACCCAGGAAAGGAAGACCAAGAGTCACCTCTGCTTCTGAGGATAAGTTCATCCGAGTCACCAGCCTCAGAAATGGCAAGTTAACAGTAGCTCAGATCAGAGACCAGATGAATGCCACACAGAGTTCTAGCAGCAGACCCATCTCTAGAACAACTGTTAAGAGGAGACTGCGCCAGTCAGGCCTTCATGGTCAAATAGCTGCTAGGAAACCACTGCTAAGGAGAGGCAACAAGCAGAAGAGATTTGTTTGGGCCAAGAAACACAAGGAATGGACATTAGACCAGTGGAAATCTGTGCTTTGGTCTGATGAGTCCAAATTTGAGATCTTTGGTTCCAACCGCCGTGTCTTTGTGAGACGCAGAAAAGGTGAACGGATGGATTCCACATGCCTGGTTCCCACTGTGAAGCATGGAGGAGGAGGTGTGATGGTGTGGGGGTGTTTTGCTGGTGACACTGTTGGGGATTTATTCAAAATGGAAGGCACACTGAACCAGCATGGCTACCACAGCATCCTGCAGCGACATGCCATCCCATCCGGTTTGCGTTTAGTTGGACGATCATTTATTTTTCAACAGGACAATGACCCCAAACACACCTCCAGGCTGTGTAAGGGCTATTTGACCAAGAAGGAGAGTGATGGAGTGCTGCGGCAGATGACCTGGCCTCCACAGTCACCGGACCTGAACCCAGTCGAGATGGTTTGGGGTGAGCTGGACCGCAGAGTGAAGGCAAAGGGGCCAACAAGTGCTAAACACCTCTGGGAACTCCTTCAAGACTGTTGGAAAACCATTTCAGGTGACTACCTCTTGAAGCTCATGGAGAGAATGCCAAGAGTGTGCAAAGCAGTAATCAGAGCAAAGGGTGGCTATTTTGAAGAAACTAGAATATAAAACATGTTTTCAGTTATTTCACCTTTTTTTGTTAAGTACATAACTCCACATGTGTTCATTCATAGTTTTGATGCCTTCAGTGAGAATCTACAATGTAAATAGTCATGAAAATAAAGAAAACGCATTGAATGAGAAGGTGTGTCCAAACTTTTGGCCTGTACTGTATGTATTTTGACACTGCTTTTTCCTGAAAGAGAAAAGGCTTTAAAGGGATAGTGCACCCAAAAATGAAAATTCACCCATTATCCACTCGCCCATATGCCGATGGAGGCTCAGGTGAAGTTTTAGAGTCCTCACAACACTTGCGGAGATCCAAGGGGAGAGGGGGTAGCAGCACAGCTCCACCTAATGGAGGCTTACGGCGCCCCGGATTCAAACGTTCAAAAACACATAATTGAAACCACAAAATATCTCCATACTGCTCTTTCGTAGTGATCCAAGTGCGTTCACGTGTGCGCGCTTGCACGAGACCGTGAGGCATGGACACCGCGTTCATGTGTGTTCACGTGCTTTTGCTGGTCTCACACACACGTGAACGCGGTGCACAGAGAGGCAGTTAGAGCTGCAGGCAACAATGAGGCTAAAAACAGAGTTCAAATGACATTTTTCCAAACAACGTTTTATGTCGGGGCTTCAGGACACTTGGATCACTACGGACGAGCAGTATGGAGATATTTTGTGGTTTCAGTTATGTGTTTTTGGACTTTTGAATCTGGGGTGCAGTAAGCCTCCATTAGGTGGAGTTGTGTTGCTACCCCCTCTCCACTTGGATCTCCGCAAGTGTTGTGAGGACCCTAAAACTTCACCTGAGCTTCCATTGGCGTATGGGTGAGTAGATAATGGGAATTTTCATTTTTGGGTGCACTATCCCTTTAAGGGTGAACTCATTGTATTCCTCAGAAATTTCCCTGCGGGACTAGTCTGAAAATATTTTGTATCCTCAAGAAGTCCAAGACCAGCTATAGGAAAAAGGGGGTCATTTTTTATTCAGGTCATTACAGTAATCTCACAACCACTATTGCTCCGTCTTTGTGCTGACTTGTGTGTGTGTCACACAGGTGTTTGTGTGTCTGTGGAAGGGCTGCAAGGTGTACAACACGCCATCCACCAGTCAAAGCTGGCTGCAGAGACACATGCTGACCCACAGCGGAGACAAGCCATTCAAGGTACCAACACAAACCTCAAATCAAACTATTTATGTCCATTTCACCTCTTTTACACCACATAGTCAGTCACGAATGATAAAAACATACAAATGCCTGCTCCCCTGTAACACTGTGAGCCCAAACTCACTCTGCCACCACCATCTCACTTCACTGACGTTGTCAATCATCTGTCTTCCTGCAGTGTGTGGTGGGAGGCTGCAACGCCACGTTTGCCTCTCAGGGAGGGCTAGCCCGTCACGTCCCCACTCACTTCAGCTCGCAGAGTTCATCCAAAGTGTCCAGTCAGGGCAAAATGAAGGAGGAGTCTCCGTCCAAGGCCGGCCTCAACAAGAGGAGGAAACTCAAGAACAAACACAGACGCTCCCTCCGTATGTTCAACACACACATACGCTCTAAAATAATAATCATAACAGCTAGAACATTATTTCTTTTTTTCAATTGAAAGAAAAAAAAACATACGGAGTGTAAAGAATAATTAGTTTATGTCTCTGCATTTAAAAATCTTGTGGACCAGTATGTTTTGTGTTTTTATGCCTCTGCTCTGGCGATAGCTGTAGCCAGAAGTATAATGTTTTCATGTTGTCCATCCATATATCCGTCCGTCCCATTCTTGTGAACGCAAGGGAATTTCTTCAAATTTGGCACAAAGCTTCCCTTGGACTCAATGACGAACTGATTAGATTTTAAGTGATCAAAGGCAGGGCCGTTGCAACCGGACAGGCAAACTAGGCAATTGCCTAGGGCCCCGAGCTGGAAGGGGGCCCCCAGAGACGGCTGACATTGGTCCATATCAATGACAATATGATGGAACCACTATAGACACTGCAACAACGACAACACGTTGGAATCCCCCCTAATGGGGCCCCCTACTAGCTGCTGCTTGTGAGTGGCTAGAGGGGGCCTCCCAGAGACTGCTGACATTTGGTCTGTAATCAATGACAGAACTTGAAACCCCCTTAGACACTGCAACGACGACACATTGGGAGACCTCCCTAATGGGGCCCCCTACTAGCTGACTTGCTGCTAGGGTGACCAGACGTCCTGCATTGTGTGGGACTGCACAGCATTTCTGTCTCTTTTCACGTGTCACGCAAATTGAGACCATGTCCCGCATGATTGGTTGCCACCCGCGCTAGCATTGTTGGAGTGCTGTAGTACTACGGTACCTCACGGTAGCACTACTATGGGATAAGTTCAAAGTCCAATCTCAAGAGGGTGAGTGTCCATGCGCTGTCCAATAACGGCGCGCGCTGGCCACCTGGCACTCAATATCAATATAACAAATCATTCAGGAGCATGCTGTGCGAGTACAGGTGAATCCTGCTGGATGCTGTATTCTTGTCAAATACGGCGCATGATAAGGGATTACCAGCGACAGAGAAGCCTGGCTCCAGGTCCAATAATTTCCTCTTTGTTGATTTCGTGACTGCCCAGTAGTACCTGATCAGCCAAGCCGTGGTGGCACACAGGTCAAGGTCATGTCATGTCTAAGGTGCCTCTTGCCTAGGGCCCACAGAGTGTCTTGAAACAGCCCTGGTCAAAGGTCAAGGTCAGTGTGACTTTGTCTGTCTTACCTCACAAAATATATTTTTGACCATAACTCTAGAACTCATAGGCTTGTTATGACAAAAATGTCTAATAGGATAAAATAATGAGATGGAGACATTTTATATCCAAAAGGTCAAAGGTCAACTTCACTGTGATATTATAATGACATTGTTTTTTTGTTTTTTTTTGCTCAACCTAATGGTGTAGCATGTGTAGCACCATTAGCTGTCTGACTGGGGTGTGGACTTTATAACAGATAAGTGTGCCTGTGTCTCAGTAGAATAGCTGATGTTAAAGAAGGCCTGAGAGCTGAAACATTATCTAAATGAAGGGACTTGAAACTGTGCTGATTGTATAGATCAGGGGTTGGCAATTAATTTTCCAAAGGGGCCACATGAGAGAGGGCTGAACCAATAGGTTGGACTTAATTCTGCTCAATACTTATTTTATCGCTCTATAAAAAGCAGTAAATTATATGGTTCTGAGCTGCTACCAGTAAGAATACACGTTACAGTAAGACCATAACAATGTGGAGTAGGTCAAATATAACAGTAAAAAAATGCAAAAACTTCAGTCATTATATCACTATTAAATTTTATTTTTAACATACAGAAAATGTATGTTTTGCGGTATGTTAAGGATCAGAAATTAACTTTATACAAAAAGCAAGTGCTTTTGATGTTTTTCAGTTCTCCTTTCTGATTCAGTGAGAAAATTCCAGTCTGTCTTGTGCCTGAACAAGTGCACTGCACTCTGGTTGAATGTCTGAGGTGGATATGCGAAGGACAGCTGACAGGTGATCATCATTGAGAGAGGATCTGTATCTGGATTTGTTGAGCTTTATCACTGAGAATTAAAGAGACTTAAAGTGTTCTGCCAGCAGTGTATCAGACTGCAGATCAATGGGTTTGAGCTGAACATCGCTGGGTGTGTTATCCACACTGCAGGTAAAGGGAGACAAGATCAGGTGCATTTTATTCTCAACTGTTTCGAAGTCTTGAAATCGCCTTGAAAACTCACCATGCAGTGCTCCTAACATGGATGAGTGCCTGAGGAGGTGATTAGCTGATGGTGTGGCTTGCCTTAGTGTTAAATGGGTGAGAATGTTGTCCTCCATCAGGCTTGAAAGACACTGCAACTTTGTCATGGAAGCCTTTGATAAGCGGTACATTTTATGTACAAAAAGAGCCTTGTGTTGCAGTTTGGTATTTAGTTCATTCATTAGTGCAGTCACATCAACAGCAAATCTAAAATCTGCTATCCAGTCTGCATCTGAGAGCTCTGGGATGTCATCCACTTTTTTCACACAGAACTCTTGAATATCTGCTCTCAGTCACAGCTTGTCCAAGCATGCATTTACCTTTGTGAACAAACAGCTCCTGGTTGTCGTCCCTTTCATTGACCACAGTGCTGCCAGCTCCTCCGTCATCTAAAGGGCCTTTGTTATCGCAAGTACGAGGCGAGTAACTGGCTGTGTTGCTGACATTGCAGCTCTCATCCAGAGCCATGGAGAAAAGGCAAAATTGTTGTAAGCTGACATTTTTTAGGGCTAACGGCTAACTCAGCGTCTCTTGTTGTACACATCACTGTGAAGGTGCATAAGCACCCACCCACGCACATACGTAAAATAAAAGCAATGCATTTGGATTGCCTGCATGCTCTGCACTTGTTTAGCCTTTGATTTCTAATTTCTGATCGACCTCACTGGGGCCAGACACGTACTGCCAAAGGGCCAGATGTGGCCAGGGGGCCATAAAATGCCCAGGTCTGGAATAGATGTTATGTGCTTCTAGGTTGAAGATGTGTTTAAAGCAGTCACGCCTAGAATATGTAACTTCTTCGCAGTACCATACCATCCTTATTTGAAGCATTGTCTGTGTCATGGCTAGAGCTTTGTGTTCTCTCTTGTTCCTCTGGTAGTCCATCACAAGTTCATTGTTTTTGCTTATGTTATACTTGAGGTGGTTGTCGTTGCATCATGGGACAAAGCTCTGTATCAGTCCTCTGTCCTCCTCTGTAAAAACAGTCTCTAAGTGAAGGCAGCATTCTTCTCACTGGAAATTGTTCTCTGGAACCATACATGTCATTCGCCATTCAGTGGGCAAGGCACTCCATGAGTATACTTTTCTGATCACAAGAAAATGGATTTTCTTTAATTGAAATCAGTATACATAGGTTATGAAATGATGATGTAAAAAACACAGTTTACTTCAACACATTCAGACACCACTTAACTGAAAGACAAAATGGCCATCAGCTCCCTCATCTGCATTCACTAATGAAAATATTTGTTTATTTCCAGCCCGACCTCATGACTTCTTTGACGCTCAGACCATGGACGCCATCCGCCATCGAGCCATTTGCCTCAACCTGGCAACACACATCGAGAGCCTGGGCAACGGACACAGTGTGGTCTTTCACAGCACGGTGCGTACACACACACACACACACACACACACACACACACTAGCCATAATATGTCATTGTCTTATTCTCCTGTCTGTGTGTTTTCTGTATGTTCAGGTAATAGCAAGGAGGAGAGAGGACTCTGGGAAAGTGAAGGTCTTGTTGCACTGGACACCTGAAGATATGCAAGTCTTACTCTTCTATCTTGTAGTACTCTTTTTTTCTCATCCTCCTCCTGTCTACCATTACGTTTACGTGACAATAGAGAAAATTGATTTATTATACTAAAACTGGACTTTTAAAATACATGTAAACATGTTAGTCTGACTGAAATCATACTAAATTCAATTTCTCAAAATTAGACTAACACAACTAGATAATGTGATTGGGAGTTGAATTACCCCTTCATGTATACAATCAATAGAACCCAAACTGGCAGAGGCGCTCTGCGCATGCTTCCCAGTTTCTGCCCCAGGCTTTGGCCTGGATGTCGAATAGCGTTAAGTGCTTGTATACTAGGGTTGGGTACCATTCATAATTGAACCGATACGGTACCGGTACTGGTATCGGTATCTGGAATTCGGTACCTTATTTCGGTACTTTTTAACCCTATGGGCCCTAGGCCTTTTTGGGGTATATTTACTGCCTTTACTTTTAAGCTCATATCACAGTCATTATAAAGGCTACATACACATGCTATATCTTGTTTTTTTCAGGACAATCTGGGCTAACCAGATTTGCCATCATTTCATGTTCTTCTGTGTGCCTGTATTTTATATTAATTTTTATATCAATGAAAAAAACAAATCTGTGTGCCTAAATTCTTACATTTTTACATGTATCTCAGCATAGCAAGTTGGAAAAAGACATATTCTGCCATATATGAAGAGGGGAGACTCTCTGGAATCTGGCAATATAAAAACCATGATGCTGGGACATTCTGTCACTTCACAGTTGTCCAAAACATGTGGTTTGTGCCAGGCGGACATGTTTGCCAGTATTTTTTCATTATTGCAAGAAATTCCATTGACTCATTCACAAGTCAAAAATGTGTTTTATCTGAAAGAAACATGCAATATTTACATCTAAGATCATAGAAAAATAGTCAACCAAGTGCAATGATGTCCTCCAAGATAATATTTGTTTTTCAGTTTCAGTTATATATTGGGGAGACATTTTGGGCATTGGTGGGGGGGCACGTGTCCCCCTCAATGTATATGGTGACTACGGCCCTGTCAGCATGCATTAGGCTGCAGTTGTCTGGGTGCGCAAAGGTGAAGTGGCTGGTCTTGTCATACAAAGTTTGATGGAGTGTCAACTGGACAATATGGAGATATTTGCATCTTCAAAGCCGGAATACAAATGTGGATAGACAGGGAGAAACACACGCAAGCCTAAGACGTGGTAAGATACGATATTCCTCACTATATGAAGTGACTGACAACAAGATCTGTATAATGGATTGTAAAGAAATTCGTCAAGTTTTTATTTTGTAGACAATTGATCTGTATTTAGAGCGCGATGGGATGACAACACAATGATGTGTGGTCCTGCGTTTTCATGTGATATGCGTGGCATTTCTGTGCGAGCCTGCGTTCGCGAGTAATTCATCCAAGAGTAATGTGTGTGCAAAGCTGTATGAAAGCTCTGTTACACATCATTTTATTGTAATTTTTCGCTGTGAAAACATTGGATTACCGACAAGTGGCCTTGGCCTTGTCGGAAAACTACAATTCTGCTGTTTCCGCTGATATGCGTGGCTTCTCGCTATGACGCATGGTCGCGGAGAAAATCCACAGAGAATAACGGGTGTGAATTTGGACGCACTATGCGTCGTTCGGGCCCATAGTCTAAACTTCTCAGTTTCAGCATTTTATTGAGAACATTTAGGAACAGTGCTGCACGTTAACTTTTGTCTGCACATTGTTTTTGTCGCCATTGTTGCTGAGTCTGAGGTGCGAGTCATGCGCTTTCGCTCCCCCTCCACCTCAGGTACCGAAATTTGGCACCGTTTCATTTTAAGTGAATCGGTACTCGGTAGTACCAACGTGAATCGGTACCAAGTACAAAAAGTACCGAGTTTCGGTGCCCAACCCTATTGGGACAGGGACAGTGGTCCAGTTAAATGGCCTAGTTGAGCTATAACCATAGCGCCACTTAACTGTTCATGTAAATGTAAAATCATTCTCTCCATTGTCTTCATTTTCTCCTCTGCTCTGCTCACCTCACCCTCTTATGGCAGTAAAACAAAATAAAACATGTCACATTGGATTAGATCAAATTGTCAGTTAATAAATCAATTCCAGCAGAGGGGATCTTAGATCTAGATTAACATCATCTTTTAAAGCCTTGAAGGCAGACTGCTGTACAACTGCTTCTTGAATGTACTAAGTTCTTCGAGGTATACTCTGTAGGATTGTTGATTTCGGTTTGTAAACATGTTCGCCAGCTAAAGTGAAAGTAAAAGCCAACCCCAGATTTACTATTGTTTTTTGGCGTTCAATCAATCAATTTTATCTATAAAGCCCAATATCACAAATCACAATTTGCCTCACAGGGCTTTACCGCATACGACATCCCTCTGTCCTTTGGACCCTCGCAGCAGATAAGGAAAAACTCCCCCAAAAAACCCTTTAACGGGGAAAAAAGTGGTAGAAACCCGAGGAAGTGAGGAGGGTTCCCTTTTCCAGGACTGACACATGTAATAGATGTTGTACAGAACAGATCAACAGGCTAAATTAACAGTAATCCATATGACACAATGATACAGAAAGAGAGACAGAGACAGAGAGAGATGCAGGACAGATGGTAATGACAGTAGCTTACAACAACATTAATTAGAGTAATAATATAATTCTAATTACGGCTATTGTGGTACAATATGTTGAAAGTATATATTAATATCTGATAGTATACATATGTGATAATAATCATATGTGTATAATAACAGTAGAAGTATGACCAATGATAACAGCAGCAGGAGGCATCTGGCAGGACCACGGCAGCAGCACAACCACACGTCACACTATCCGACTCCGCGGAGGTCCGCACGGACTAAAAGCGGACGTCCGCAAGCCCTGTGCGCGCAAAGCTCAGATTTTACAACCGCACAGACTCCGCTCCGCATACCAGTGTCACTCAAAAGACTGCTCGGCATGTATTTTTCACATCGCCATGACAGAAACGTGCAAGAATTGGGGGTAATGTAGTGTTTCACAGACATTTTTACAGGAAACTACAACGCGGAAGTGCGCTCGACTATGGAAGCCGGAATGACAGACATTCCTCGCAGAGTCCGCTCCTCTTATAGTGCGCCGGAGTCTGTGAGCACCTTAAATTAAATTAAATTAAATTAAATTAAATTAAATTAAATTAAAACCCTTGGCGCACACTGCAGCACAATCAAACAGATGTGCAACTCAGAGCATAAGAAGTGTCTCTGACACCAGACTCAGAGCAGCTGAGTGCGCTCGTTGGGTTAGTGTTGCGTTTAAGGCCTCCCCCCAAAAAAATGCAAAAAAAAAGCGCAGAAGCTTCGATTTTTTTTTTTTTTTCACAATCAAATCCCATGCCATCGAGCGAAGCTTCGAAGCTTCAAATTTTTTGGGTCAGCCCTACTGATAGCTGAAGATCTCTGGCTCCTGATCTACTTTTGGTGACTTTAAGGACCACGAGTAACCCTGCATTCTCAGAGCGCAGTGTTCTGGTGGGATCTCTAAGATTATGACATTAGCCTGGTTTTCTTGCCACTGTGTCTCTTGGATGCCTGCTGCTGAAGGTCTGGCATCTGGTCACTACGATTACGAGCTGGAGGGTGACACGGGAGTGGACTTTCACTCCTGTTCCATCCCACTCCCACAAAAAAATAAATAAATACTCCGGACCTGTCCCAATGTCATGACAGACGGACACAAACACTTAAAGGAATCATGGTGTTCATGTGTTTCTTTCAATGACAGCAGTCAATATAACAACTGAACAATTATTTGAACTAAACATCGGAACATTTCTTCATCAACATCTTCACCACCCTGTGAGTTTAAAAAACGCTGATATTTTTGTCTGCTTTTCAGGTGGCTGAAGTGACGTGTGTGTATGTGTGCGTGCGTGCGTATGAGGGGTCAAACGTTTCACCCAGTCACACTACAACACGTCACTTGCGCCTACTTAGGACACATCAGATCTAATCAAACCGCGTGAGCGCACGCCTACATTTTACATAGGGTTACTATGGAGACACGAGTGTTACACACACGCCCGCTACATGATGCGCAGGCGTTGTGCGCTCCACTCACATGACGCGCTCACACGTCTTATCAGTACGCGTGCACAGCGCGTTACAAACGCTACACATACACTACACCTGCGTGTCTACGCACGCACGTCCGATTAGCAGAGTTAGCATAGCGATTCTACGTGTCACACGCCCGTAACACGATGTGTTGTTGCTTCAAGAGTTGACACTTTTGACCCCTGTGATACATGACGTGTCTACGCACACACATCTGATTAGCAGAGTTAGCATAGCGATGCTACGTGTCACACGTCCGTAACACGACGCGTTGTTGGTTCAACAGCTGACACTTTTGACCCCTGTGATTACATGACGTGTCTATGCACGCACGTCTAATAACCACACGTCTAGGCGTGTGCAGGCATTGCACGCGCATTGCATGTGTAACAAGTACACGGTGAATGCACGCGCAGTGCACGCGAAGCAAGTACACGGTGATGGTTGCACACGCAATTTACATGTATCAAGTACGCAGTGAATGCAGTGTGTGTGTGTTCGCTGATACGTTTGACCCCTCATAGCGTGCGTGCGTGTGTGCGTGCGTCGGGGCAGAACTCCGCCTTGTGCCTTGTAGAGACAGAAATGACATGCCGTCATGTAAATAAGATAAATAACATAAGGCTATTTAGTTTGTTTAATAAAAGGACAAGGTATAGACCTGTTCTATAGGAAAGGTAACCGTAAATGACTTCTGTTGTGATCTGGCTCTATATATAAAATTAAGTTAAATTAACTTGATCTTCAAGGGAGTTGGCGCCCCCCTAATATAATGGTAGGGGAAACACTGAACATGTATTAATATAATATTTAGGGACAAGTTAAAATGAACATTAAGAATGGTGTTTGCCCCATTATGTCTTGAAGAGTTGTAATACCTTTAAGTTTTATTAG